CTGCCTGGCATTATTATTTTTTAAACACACTCTTTTAAAATCCATACGATTCTGCTCTCCAGCATACCTTTTAGGGGACCACTCCTTTTTTATTTATATAATGTGCCTCGGTGGACCACGTGTGTGTGTGTGTGTCTATTTCTCGGGGACATACCATATTACGGCCATACAAGCCATAAACTACCCACCAAACCCAACAGAAGAAGAAGAAGAAGTCACAAATTTTTATTTCCATCTTGATTCCGAGAGCCGAGCGCTGGCCGTGCTTTTTTTGTCTAATCCCGGATCTGCTGTAACGCGTTTTGGTCAAATCCGAACAACACCAAATCCCGACTGGATTATATGGGAGATGGTGAAATATACGAGCTCCTTGCATTATTTGTGGGTGGTCCTCTCAGGAGATGTCACACTTGGTTTGGATCTTGATTATGTTTTATCGCCTCCACTTGGCATTAGAGAGAAGCAAAGAAGAAACTGCACACATAAAATTGTTATTAATAATAGTTTTAAACTAAGATTTTCTGGTTTTATTCAACTTAAAATGTATTAATTTTTAAGTACATTTTTAAAATACTATGTAATATTTAATAAAAATTTAAATTTAATTCAATCATGATAAAAATTTGTTTTCAATAATACTTCAAGAGTATTATATTATATAGTTTTAAATGTAAAATTTATATTTGATATGTATTACTAATACCAGCTGCAAGAAGTATTCATTACCAAAATTAAATCCTAAACAGGATCTTGATATTTCATACTTATGTCGTTATTATTAATTAAAGCGATAAGAAAATTTATCTTAAAATGCAGGAATTGAGAAATATGTACATAATTTATTAAAATATCATAAATCTATGACTCCTTAATTTTTCTGTATTGATATCTTCAAATATTTGATTTTAAATTTATCAAAAATTCCAAAATTCTTTCATTTCATTTTCTAAATAATTTAATTAGTTCATTTTAAGCGCAATACAAAAAAAATACCTTTTTACTTCATAGGAAAGCAACACCTTTTTACAAACAATAGTCAGTCGTGCTTTTGCAAAGCCCCTTTAGCTAATTACAAATCTCGCGCTCAGCAGGAGCGACACCCAAAAGTGCGAAATGCGCATTTTAATTGGCGTGTTTTTTTTCACGGCGGGCTGCGTCTCAATTGCGCGATTCGGCTCGAGATGCACAAAACAGTCGCACATAAAAGGCACAAAAGCGGCGAGGCCTCCCACGCACAGGCGTACTCTCACTTGAATAAGACTGATGACGCAACGGAGCCACACGGTGCCCGTTCGCCGGCTATGGCTGGCTGTCCACCGTCCCGCTGTGAATTTATTTATCCTTCTTCTTTCTCTCTCGGCTGCTCCACGCGCAGAATGGATCTCGCGAGAGAGAGAGGAAAAAATAATATACACACACACACATGCATATATATGAAAGAAAAAATATATAAGAAATCGCTCTCTGGCAAACATTCTCGCAATACCGGCTCATAAACTAATGCCTGTGTGTGTGACCACATGTTGCGATTTGACCTTAACTCAATTATAGGCAGGCAATCAAGTCTTTGAACCTTTAATGATGCGAGCAGCAGCCTGAAATGCTGTGCATTTTTCGGCAATAAATTATTCCACCCATCATGAGCCGAGAGCGCGTACCGGCCGAACCGACTGGAATTTTTTTCTTCTTTCTTTCTTAGACGGCCGTGCTGCGAGAGGAAATTTAATACGGCGCGATGTAATCGAGGAGAGAGACACGACGGCCCTTTATTTGACTGATTCCACGATAACACAGCAGCTCAAAGCACGCCTGCCTCCGTCCGACTCACTCGCACAGCCAGAGATGATTTTTTATAAATTCCCCAGCTCGCCCGTCCGACGGCGTCATGTTTTGAATTTTTTCTCCAAAGTTGCCCGCTGAAGACCTGATTTGTGTGTGTGTACAGAAGATGTTCGAGCGGGCCGAAAAACTGCGCGCCGGCCAGCGGGAGGTGTTTTTAAATGGGTGTTTTTTGTTTTGTCTCTTGGAATGAGAGGGAAGAGTTGAGCCCCACTGTTCCAATTATCACTGCTGTTCGATTCATCTAGTTTAAAAGAGCAGAATCCTCGACCCTCCTAAAAAGGAAAAAAAATAGAATTTAATGAAATTTTTACTACAGTCATATTAAATTCAAATATAAAATCTTCCAGAATCTATCATGACACATGAGAAAAATAATCAAAACTTCCAACAACTTTATAAATGTGTGCTCAGCTAAAACGTATGATAAAAAAAAAAACTCATGAAACATTTTTATCTATTTAATATAAGCTATTACTTCTCAAATTGCGGCAACTTTTTGCGATAACTTCAATCAAGGAGCAATTTAATCGAAATCGCACCGAGCTTAATTAATAAACCGTTGGTTAACGCGTCAATAAAAAGCCACTCGAGCAGTCTCGATAGTCTCTCTCGCTGTCACAAATCGAAGCCCTCTCGGTTAATTATTTCATGACGGGATCCGCGTCGACTTGACGAGATAATCAATCCACCGGCAGGCGAATGATAATTTATTGAAAAAGTAATTAGTGCATCAAATGCAAATGCAGCAGTTCCTCATTCCCTTCTTAGAATGGAGCGATGCATCCCGCGATAAACCGAGTTTCAATTTTTTTTTCTACCGCGCCAAGAGAAGTGCGAAGGTGAAAAGTCTGCAGCTTTCCTCGTCTGAGCAGAGAGTGACATTTTTATTGCTCGTCGATTCGATTTCCCAACTAACGCCGGCAATGAGCTTGTTCACTCATTATATGTAAGAGACAGGCCGTGTCTCTCTATATCATATATTGAAACTCGCGCGTACAGTCATACAAGGCTGCCGCAGAGTGATATTATAAACATCGACGAGAAACGCTAGCTCGCGAGATGAGGTGTTGGCCAATCGTTTATTATAAATAAAGTAAAAAGGTCGCGCCGTGTGTGCCGCGCTCGCTCACATACACTGGACGAGCACGGCAGCTTGTGTAACCGTCCGTTAATGAGCCCATTGCATGTGCGGAAATCAATTTTTCTGAGAGCAACACGTCTGCTGATAACGCATCCCGGGCGTTCGCGAATCCATCATCGAGGTGTGCGCCGCAAATAAATAATTCTGTCGCGTTTTGTGCCGAGGGGTCTACAGAGTGCCCGCCTTCAAAATTAGTTCGTGCTGCGGTCAGACGCATGCAATTATTGCTGAGTGGAAAAAAAGAATTGTGTGTTGATGGTGCTTTCCGACTGATGAAATCGTAAATTAGGGCTCTTTCAACAAATATAATGGACTGAAAATAGAAATCCAAAATAACTTTTGCTACTATTTGTCCGTAGAGAATTTCTCTTTTATGAAGTTGAGAATTAAAGATTATGGAATAATTAATTACGTATTTTTGATTCTATTGAAAATTGATTCTCAAAATTTACTGTTGAACCATGTGAACTAGGTATTAATTTTTTAATTTAATTATTCACTTAATGATTTGAATCCATATAATACAATTATTTTGTAATAAATTACTCAGTATTTAATGTATTCATTAATTACTCAGTAACTTAATAACAAAAGAAAAACTTGCAGTTATAAAAATATTAATTTAAAATTACCAAATATATGTATTGCAAAATAATAAAAATAAAAAGCTATAAAATTATTGTAAGATTAAAAATAGATTTTTATAGAGAAATATAGTAATATGACATTTTTAAAAAGAATAAATATATTTTCTAATTATTTATAGTGTTGGAATTATCCGTTCACAATTGATGAATGCGATTATAGCCTTGTCCTCTCTTTCTCCAAACAATTTATTTCCCGACACAATTTTTTAGTTCCCGTGTCGGCCCTCGTTTAAATTTTAAAAATAGCGATCGGTGCCAGTCGAAAACACGTCTGCCCGTCTTTCACACTTTATTCCGTCCATCCCCTGCGAGTTAGGCTTTTTGTCGGGCGCCAGGGTCGTGCATGTGCTGACAAATGGCTGGTGCCAGTGATGATATTGTTATTAGCGGCTCTCAATAATGTGGCTCACGAGTGACAGCACTCACTGCTCTGCGGCTCTTCATAAATCACCGGTGCGAAAACAACAGTCGCTAGATAGAGATGCACGCGAGAAATATAAATAAATAAATAAAATAAACGATTGGTGGCGGAAATAAATAATTTAAACCTGCGTTAGAATATATTTGTATTTATCCCGAGCGAAAATGGCCAAATGAGCAGGGCGAGCGAGAGAAAGAGAGCCAGCCAAGGAATGCATCTCTGGAAACAGGTCGCGAACCAACCTGACAGACCGGTCAGAAAGACACATACATGCGTCCTCGTCATCCTCCTGCCTCTTTTTTCACCACTCGATTCGCGGCCGCGGCAAAAAATTCGGAGACAAAAATTTATTTCGAGCAGGAAATTTTATACGCAGAGGAAAAAAAATTCCCAAACGGAAAAGTATAATGGCTTATTTCGGTCTGTCAAGTGCAGTTTAAAATGATTTTCCCATGCGGTGACGCAACAATGGATCAATTTCGTCTGATAGATTCATCGTTCGCGCTGCCGAAATGGCTCTATTATCGCGGCGTAATCACGCTGGAACCAATCGTGAGCGCTTTTTGCGGCCGAAAACGGACAAAAAGTGAACGACGGATGAATCGATTGTCCGTCAGCAGTGTGACCAATGGTGAAAAATATTGCATGAGAAGGAAGAGCACAAAAAGAATAAAGATGGAAATGCATCGATCGCCTAGATGTATGCGAGAAGTCAGCGATGCGGTGATCTGAGACATTTGCAAATGAAACCCGAACCCGCGTCCGCCCCTGAATAAAAAAATAAATGTGCCCGGCCGAGCAGAAAAATTTCCGCCACGGATATCTATATATGTTAAAACGTGTCTCTCCGCCAAGTGGAGAGAGGTTATTATTATTGAAATATTATTTTTTTAACTTTCAACGTGAGTAAGTGATCTGTTGACAAGCGGCGTTTTTCTTATTGTTGCAGGTGAGTTTCACTGGAAGAATCCAAACATGACTCATCCGTCACTCCTAGCACAACAAGGTATTTATGACAATCCGTATATATCTGTATAGAATTTTGCGTTTTACATTATGTCCTGTACACGCGGCGCCCGTTCCGATTTTATCTCCCGCGAAATTCCTCCTCGCTGCGCCGCGTCGTGTGTCAATAGCAATTCGGGTAATTGCGGCGTGCAAAAAATAAAACGTGGCGTATGAGAGCGGCGATGGCGCTGATTAAAGGGCCGCGCGCGAAACGCTCACAGCATCTTAAGCAGCGCCAGCCCGTTATTAACTCAATCATGACTCCATTATGTAAACCAATAGTAATTACCGAATAACAAATCGCACTTATATAACAATATTCGCACACTCATCGCACCTAATGCGAATTAATTTTCCAAAAGGTGCATGAATGGATCTTTTATGTGCTGGATTTTTTTTTATATCAAGAGATAAGCTCGCGTGTGTTGTCCGCGCAAAGTGCTGAGAGGAAAAAGAAGATATGTATAAGAAAGAGAGAGAAAATGTTTGATTGTATACGGTGGAAGGGTGCGGTCGTCGTCAAATTTAATATTATGTGCCTCCATCAAATGGGACTGAGAGAACACCAGAAACACTTTTAACATATCATGAATATTCGATGGACATGCTGGACCGAGACCGGCCGACTCTCCCAATACACGCCATTAAGTGAGCAGGCAGGCACGGGAATAAATATCAAAATATCTCCCTCTCTGATTTATTCATGTCTCTCTCTCTCACACACACACGGTGAGGCCGGACTCTCTGCGAAAGACGCAAGGTTGCCTCTGCTCTCCATTCAAGGAAAACGCTCCATCATAAATTCCGAATCCCTCGGGATGAGATAAAATCGGAATAAATTTCGCGGCTATTTTCGCAAAAGTCCGCGAATAAATACACAGAGGGGTGCGCGGAATTTGGGTGGAAATTCAAATTTATGGACGGGAAACAGGGTGGTGCGCTGTCAGTCGGATAATGCAGTGTGTGCATCATCATCATCATCACGTAATCTATTTGTCCGAGGGGTTGCCTACACACGCGGCGCGCGTGCGAGGAGGGCTGCCTGACGTGATCGGCACTCTTAAAGTGCGCGAACTGGATTAAGATTGACACCTGACTGGCTGTGCCGAATTCATTTCGGCCCCTTGTCTACAGCTTTGCTGTGAAAAAAATAGTAAACGTGCACGCCAGGCAGGGCTTCTCAGATTTCTAGACAAACCCGAGTGTTTCGATGAGCTAGTAAATCGCTTTTAATTTTTTTTAACCTGAAATTTTTTTTATTTTAACATATTATAACTGCAAGTTAAATATTTGTTGTTAATTTATTTAAATTTCTTTTTTTAAATTTTTAAAACGTATAATTATAAGTTTTTTAATAAAAAACTGTATAAAAATATGTATATTTTAATTATTTTTTATTTTTAAAATGTTTAAATAATTTTTTTTTTGACATTATGCTTCACCAAGAAGCAATTTATTAAAAATAGTAGTGATTTAACTAATTTACAATTAAATAATTAATTTTGTTTCATTTTGATTATATTAACTGATCCTGCGATTAGTGATGCTGAGCATAATTTCCATGGTTGCGAATGAGAGGGCTATTATATAATATCAGAATTTATCAAAAAAAAATCAGAACATCATTAACAAAATACACTTACAAAATAAAATTGAATAAATATTTTTTTTAAATGATTTCTTAAAATCCCGATTCTCAAGTTAATAAAAAAAAAAATTGCTAAAGTTTAGATTCTCCAATTGTGCGGTAATAATTTTTTATAAATTCAATTTATTCCTCAGAATAAATCAATATTTCTTTTTCAAATCAAATGTTAAACATTCAGCTTCAAACGCACCACAATTTCCACAAAGTGATATTTTTACTGCAATTCTCCAAAGAAAGGCACTCGACTCGGTGCATCAGGTTTTGGGGCAGTCGATGCAAAGTGGCGAGTTGATTCAATTGGCGTGCCCACCGCGCTCGCCCCAGCTAGCAGTGCATCGAAATAGTGTTCCCCGGGGAATGCATCGGCCAAATGGTCACGTTCGGTGGCGGGAATATAATAATTCTGCTGGTCGGTATGACGGTCTAAGTGGTAGTGCAAGTCAGCATCGCTCTCACACATGGGAATTGGAGGGAAAACCTTTTAAGGATGCGCTGCTGGTCAATCTTTCTTTCTCTTTGAGGCCTCGGCGCCGACACGAGAAAGCTTTTTTCCTGCACCCAATTCCAAATGAAAATATAACGTACACCGGCGTCGATACATTATGCACAATCACCCAAGCATCCCAAACACGCCGCTGAAGTCTTCATTACGCGCTCGGATAGTTTTCGTTCCCATATCTTTGGAAAAAAAATAATAACAAGAACTGAAAATAATATATATACAATATGAAGCGCAAAAAAAATCAGAGTCGCTCACTCAGTTTTATTTTTTATTGTTGTGCACGAGCTCGGTGTGTGCTTTCATTTGAGGGCTTATTTTATGAAATCGTAAAATTTAACTGTTGTGCACTAAAAAGAAGCGGCCCAGAGCGCGCATGTGTTTTGGAAGGAAAAATTTTATGTGGCTCCGTCCGGCTCGCACACACACTCACTGCTGTGTACTACTACTACACACTAATGCTAATAAAAATTTACTGACTGGACTTTATTAGCCATTATACAATAATGTAGAACAGGTGTTTCTCCACTCGGCTTAGTTTTTAATGTCGTGCAAATTTATCACTTTGTCACGCACAATTGGCAATAAGGAAGGAGCAAAGGCGGACACACAACAAAACACAGTCTCATTATTTCAATAAGCACATCTTTCCATCACCCTGAGCAAAAATACGACAAAAACCTCAATGACGTAACTCTCGATAATTAAAACGACCCATAAAAGCAATTAAATTCCAGCAGTTACACAAAGGTGGGTCGGAGAGAGATCGAATTTATTTTATGGCCCCTGCTTCCCGATATCAAAACGCCCTACTGAATTTTTTACGATAATAAAAACGTGTAATAAAAATTCGGTCTCATTGGCCGGCGGCCATTTTCAATTATTCACAAGAGGCAAATGAGATTCTGCTTGGCCGAGCAGCAAGAGCGCGCAGGGCAGATGTTTGGCGCAGGGTTAACTTTTATTCTCTTCTCACCTGTTCGTCCAAACGAGCGCGATAGATAAGCAGCAGACTCGCAAGAATTTCCCAATGAAAATATAAATATATACGGCAGATTGGATTTTGTGAGTGTTTATCTCGAACGAAAAAACGCGTGTCACCCTCGACTGCTGCCATAATTGATTTGACATTTCACTTCCGACGAGCTAGGAAAAAACGGGAAAACGATTTCATCAGCCGTGAGTTTATATATATAAAAAAAATAGCTGGTAAAGGTCCGAGTAAGGAAGAATTAAATTAAGGCTTTTGAGAATATAAACGATAACAATGAGGAATTTTAATATCACTCGAGCGACGTCCATAACGGGATTAATCAGGCATTTGAATGTTTTAAGCGTAATTCCACGACTTAGCCTCGGCATTCTCGGACCGCCGCCGCCGTTTTCCTTTTTTCTTTGGTGCTCATTTGACATCTGCTCGAGAGAGAGATGCGTATCGGCGAGATGAGAAATCCCCGGACCCTGTTATTCTCCTCCAGCAGCAACAAGACTAATTACGCCCCTCGGAGAGTGAATTCCACTCGTGTTTTCCTTTCACGTGAAACGTGAACGCGATTCTCAGCAAAAGGCGGCGATTTCTTGCGAATAACTCGTATGTATGTGTTTATTCACCGGCCGGTGCGCGCACCATAATAACTCGCTCTTTATATTATTTTTATGTATATTCCCCTTTTCATATATATAAATGACGACTGCGCGGCCGGTGTGTAATGTTGTTGTTGTTACTTATTTTATCATGGTCCGCTGCTGCAGATACATTTTTTACGTGGTGTAGCAACATTCTGCCTCTCTCGCCGAGATGATGAGGGGGAGGCTGAGGAGGTTATTTAGTTAACCGGTTATTCCTTCTCAAGGCTCGCAGTACACTCGGACGGACGGATATGTGTGTGTGTGTTCACTTATATGCCATGCATATATGTATGACGACCGGCCGGCCGGCCGGCGCAATGATAATAACGACGGTCTGCTGTCGTCGAGCCCTTCCTTGCTCGTCCACTTTTGCACGACTGCCGCCCAGACGAGGCTCACAATCACGGCTGACGGAAATTTGCATTACTTGAATGAAACTCTTCAACGTGAAGTCGTTTCCAATAAATGCAGAAAAGTGGGGAAAATGTGGCATATTCATAAAAAAATTATAACTCATTAAAAAATTAATTCCTGTATTTAAAACCGCTGTTTTTACATAGTTTATATTATATTATTATTTTAAAATTATTATGAAATTTTATTTTATTTTAGGAATGTTTCTTTTAATTTATACCTTTGTAAGATTTTACAGATAAAATCACTCAATGAACCTAGAAAAATTTCAAGATGATTGGTATAAATGTATGTTCTTGCTTACTATTAATGAATCTAATAGAAATAATTTATCACATTATGTTGTCCAGTCATATAATTATTACCAAATTATTTTTAACAATGAAATTGTAATAATGAAGAAATTGCTAAGTAAATAACGGAGGAAAATCATCAAAAAATATACAAATAGACTGTCCTGTAAATGTCCACAAATTTTATAAACAAGTAATTAAATCTAGATTTTTGCACATTGTTTAACAGTTTAATTTTATTTTAATTTCTGTTTAAGTTTTAATCTGGAGATTTAGTTACGTTTGCAAATTTTCGCTTAGCACTTTGTGACCTCGTGGATGTTTGGCGAATTATTCAGGCCTTAAATTTATCGATCGAGTGGAGCTCATGGTTCGCAAATAAATTTCGCTCTCGCGGAATTCCTCAAGCGTGCAGCCGAGGATAAAAATTCCAGTGGAAGGCGAAACTCATTCTCGGTTGTGGGAGAAAATTTCGTTTCCCAGACCATCCTCAATTCGCGCCGCGAGCCTGCTGC